TCTTGTTCCTGATTTTAGTGTGAAGGATTTCAGTTTTTGACCATTTAGTATGATATTGGCTGTTGGTTTTTCATAGATGGGTTTTATCAGATTGAGGTAGAGACCATCTATTCTTGTGAGTGATTCTTGTTATACAGCATGTTTTATTGTAATATTTACAAGCATTTTCTCATTATGTCTTAGGTTTTGCAATACTTTTTTTTGGTTTAATTGTTCTCTAATGTTTATTAGTTCAGATAACCGAGTTATATTTTGTCTAGTTCTCCCACACAACAAACATACAAAACTGGAAATTTGTATTAAAATTACATCGATTTATTTTTTTAATCTTTTTTTTTTTTGGTACCATGATCAAACTCGGGTCCTTGCACTTTCGAGGCAGGCGGCGGAACCACTGAGCTAAATCCCCAGCCCCTACATCGATTTATAGATTTTAAAAAGAAACAGTTAACAGACATTCAGGGGTTCTTTACAGATGCTGATTTTTATATTTTATTTGTTGAACCAGATACCAAATGAATATTTTCTTGTTTCTAATAGTTTCTATTTTGTTTTATTGGATTCCCCAGAACTAGTCATCTTTTTCAAATAGTGATAATTTTTGGCTTTGTATCTTGTAATTTGTTTTATTTTCTAATAGCCCTGGTATTCTTTTGAACATATTCAATATCACAGAACCTCAACATCAGACAAGGTCACTCTGACTGTAAAAAGCAAGACATCAAACTGCTCCATAATCACCTCTCAGCACTGGCAAAACGTGGGCACTGTCCCAATGATGAAAAGATGAAATGTCCCTTTTCCTTGGATAATGCAGTGAGGTCACTTCTTTACTAATTACAGCATCAGCCTCCATCTAGTCTGCTCTCCTTGAGGCCCATCACAGAAATACCCCCACTTCTGACCTCATTCAATTCAGAGCAAAGCCCTGATTCCCAAGTCTTTCTCTAGGTCAGTGAACACAGACACAAATGTCACAAGCCCTAGTCTCTAGCACCCTCCTTACTGAGATGTGCCACTGTGCAAGAGTACTAAACCTAATTTGTTCAACTGTGGACATGTTCTTGGTGGGCTTTGGCTGGAGAATATTGATAGATTTAGAGAAAGTCTCACTTTAGTTTTGCATTGAGAATAAAATAGGCAGTTCCATTTATTTGCATCTCCTATCTGTACAGCTGTGATGTTTACTTCATATGTAGTAGCTACTATAATAAAGTGTATTTCTAGCTGTGTATGGTGGCACACACCTGTAATCCCAACCCTCATGGGGCTGAGGCAGGTGGATCACTTCAAATTCAAGGCTAGCTAGGACTACATAATAAGTTCAAGGCCAGCTGGGAATACATAGCAAGACTCTTGTCTCTAAGAACTGAAATTTAGGCCAGGTGTGGTAGTGCACACCTGCAGTCCCAGCATTCTGGAGGCAAAGTAGGAGGATTCCCTCAAGTTGAAGGCCAGCCTGGGCTACACAGTGAGTTCAAGGCTAGCCTGAACTACATAGTGAGACCCTGTCTCCAAAACAAAACAAAACAAAATTTTAAAAAACTAAAAAAAAAAGGTTATGGGGCTGGGGATTTAGCTCAGTGGCTCTGCTGCCTGCCTCGAAAGCGCAAGGTCCTGAGTTTGATCCCTGGTACCAAAAACCAAAACCCACAAACAAACAAACAAACAAAGGTTATTTCTGTATCATTTATACTTGTCTCTATCAAAATTGGATCTTTTTTCCATTTTAATTTCTAATTTAGGCCCAGAGATTTAGCTCAGTGGTTTCACCACCTGCTGCGCAAGCACAAGAACCCGAGTTCGATCCCTGGTACCAAAAAAAAAAAAAAAAAGAAATACACATAATTTCTAATTTATTCTTATCTGTGGCAGGGGTTCACAAACTTCCTGTAAAGGGCCAAAGAATAAATATTTTAGTTTATTTTTTTATTTTTATTTTTTAAAGCTACTTATGTTTATTTTATTTTTTCTTGTTTTTTGGTACCGGGGATAGAACTCAGGTCCCTGGGTTTGCGCAGCAGGCAGTGAAACCGATAAATCCCCGGCCCCTTTAGTTTTTTTTATTTTTATGAGTACATGTTTCCAGTACATAATGATTACATTCATCATGGGGAGTTGGTACATGTACATAACACATCTTAATTTTTTAAAATCCCCCCTCCCCCATTTCTTGGGCTACTTCACATTTATATTTTT